CAAGATTTGGCACCTGAGTTGTAGTTTGCTGACTCCTGATAAACATCTCTAACTTATTATAGTGTACTCTCAGTGATATTAAACTGCGTCACACAGAGCGTAAGAACTTCACAAACTTTTTTTATTGCCTCCCATTCTCTCTGCCATTATTGTTGAACATTTTGCTTCTCCATGTCATACACCCCACAACAAATGTCTATTATTCTTTAAACAGTAGATTATCTTTTAAAGAGAGTTAATTACTAAGAAACAAAATACTTTTACCCACGTAGCCACTGTGTCTGGTGCTCCTTCTTTTGGTTTTCCTTTGGCATTTCAAGTATCATTTTTCTGGAAGGAAAATCATATTTTCTTTTTTTTAAAGATTTTGTTTTTCCTTTTTCTCCCAAAGCCCCCCAGTACATGGTTGTACATTTCAGTTGTGGGTCCTTCTAGTTGTGGCATGTAGGACACCGCCTCAGCATGGCTTGATGAGTGGTGCCATGTCCGCACCCAGGATTCAAACTGGCGAAACTCTGGGCCACCAAAGCAGAGCACATGAACTTAACCACTCAGCCACAGTTTTTTCGGCCCCTGGAAAAATCATATTTTATGTATTCAAAGTTTGCTGGCACTGAATTTTTTGTTTTGTATATCTGAAATTGTCTTTATTTCACCTTTGTTTTTGAAATATATTTTCCAGGTAATTTCTTATAATATTTGAAAGATGTTCTACTATTTTCTGGCTTGCATTTTGCCAACAAGAAATCTGCTGTGATTGTTATCTTTTTTCCCATTTACATAAAATATCTCCCCTCCCTCCTTAGTTGCATTTAAGATTTTCTATTTATCACTAGATAGTAAGCAATCTGATTATGATGTGCCTTGCTGAAATGTTCTTGTGCTTGGCATTCATTAAACTTATTTGTTCTATAGGTTTATAGTATCCAACAATTTGGAAATATTTCAGGCATTATTTATTTGAATGGTTTTCTATCCTTCTACCTCTCTCTCAGCACCTAATATGTGTATTAGTTCCCTACCTCTCTCTCAGCACCTAATATGTGTATTAGTTCCTTTGAAGTTGTCTCACAGCTCATTGATGTTATTTGCTTTTTTTAGTTTTTTTCTCTCATTTTCATTTTGAATAGTTTCTACTGCTATATCTTCCAGTTTCCTAATCTTTTCTTCTGCAATGTCGACTCTGCTTTTAGTCCCGCCCAGTGTATGTTACATCATAATTTAGTTTTTATCTCATAGTTAGATTAGGGTCTTCTTTATGTCTTTCATGGCTCTACTTAACATGTTCAGTTTTTCTTCTATTTTCTTGGACATATGGAATACATTTTTCTGTTTTAGTGTCTTCTACTTTTACTATCTGTCATTCTATGCCTGTTTTGAGTGATTTATTTTTTTTCTCATTTTGGATTATATTTTCCTACTTCTCTGTATGACTTTATTTTTGATTGGATGTCAGACATTCTGATTTGGGAATATTTTTGTATTCCTGTGAATATTCTAGTGAGGAAACAAGCATTCTTGCAAAAAATTATATAAACAAACGTAAACCGACAGTTCTGGCAATATCTATGAAAGGTGGAGTCCTCAGAAGGGCCATCAAGACTGCTCTCAATTCTCTGCATTTAGATGCCAGTGGGTTTGTCCTTATGTACATCTCCTGGGGGCTGAAATGATCGCTGTGATTGGCTTTTACATGTTAGAAAAATTACACCTTATCAAGCCTACATCATTTGTACAGTCACAAATAATAGTAATCTACTCATCCTCCTATTTGACTTGGTAGATGTTGTGTCTCATATATGAAAACATAACTGGATTGCTTGTAGGACCAAGACCTCAGTTCTACCTCCAACCAGGTGCTTCCTGTGAGTCCACCTGCAGCCCAGAGGTGTGGGTTAAGGCCCCCCAAAGGGTTTGTAAAAAAAAAAAGTCTGACTCAGTTTCCACTATGGATAACCTGGGCAATTTTATAATAGCTCTGGGCCTGGCCTCCTGTGGAGAAACTGAAAGACCCTGCAGTAGAGGCTGAATGCCTGAAGCAGTGCCTCCTAGAGGTGGGATCCATTCTTCTGTGTACTATAGCCATGCCCAGCACTTGTTCCCTTATTAATGGTCCAGTCTGTTTCTGGGGCATGAAGAGGGTGCCCTTTTGTTCCAGTTCCCCTTTGCTCTTAGGATGGAATCCAAACCCATAATGTGTCAGAAAAAAATACCTCACCCTCCAGTCCCTCCCCTCTCTGCCTTGATGAATGCTCTCCCAACCACCCCAAATTACCTCTACCCAACAGATCTTCTTCCCCTCCCTAAAGCTCAGTCCACCCAGCTACCAGACCTTTGTTCAGATGTTCCTCTCTGCCAGGAATGATCTTCTGAGAATTTGCATTTCTCTCAGGTTTCCAGGTGATGATGATGTTGCTGGTCCAGGGGCCACACATTGTAAACTATTGATTCATTTAATTATTATAAAAATTCACATATTCTCTAAATATTTCCTGTGTCCATGTCTTGGGCCTTATTTCATTGCTTCAATTCTCCCAAGATTTACAACCAGGAAATGTTCTGGTATCATCCATATCAATTTCAAAATTTACATCATTACATAATTAGCAAACTAAGGTCATCAACAAATGGTTGCAGACTTGGTTATTTTCTCACATAAATACTGACTAATTATCAATGAGTAATCTTGTATGAGACTACTATTTTTACAAAAATAATTTTTGAAGGAGAAATAAAACTACAAAAACTTAAGCAATTTCTTTACATATTAGGACCTGCCACCTTTCCAGGAGATCAGATTCTTCTCATTGTAATCGATGAGCACTTATGGACTTCATTCTCTCTGTCTGTTTCTTGACATGTTTCAGTATTGGCATGTAATTTCCATTAACTCGTCTCCTGATGGGTTCTAACAGAGATAGGTTAGCTCAGTTTCAAAAGAGATAAAAGCTAGCAGGTGTGGTTTGTGGCACTCTGAAAATTACCCTGAAATAATGATTGTATATGGGATTTGGATAATTTGATTGGGCTTCTCCCTTTTGCCATACTTCTCTTAGAATCAAAGGCATAACATCTAATTTCCCAAGAACAAGGAAGGCTATTTTGTGTATTGTTTTTCTGTCTTTTTTTATTGTAAGATATATATAATATAAATTTTACCCTTTTAACCATCTTAAATGTAAAATTTAATAGCATTAAGTACATTCACAATGTTGTGCATCCACCAGGACTATGCATTTCCAGAACTTTTTCATCCTCCCAAATAATAACTCTGTATCAATTAGACAATAACTCCCCCTTCCACACTGCCTCCAGCCTCTGGTAACCTCTATTCTACTTTATGTCTCTATGAATTTGCCTATCTTAGGTACTTCATACAAATGGAATCATACAATATTTGGTTTTTTTGTCTATGGCTTATCTCACTTAGCATAATATTTCCAAGGTTTATCCATATTACAGCATGTATCAGAATTCCATGAACTAGAATGAACTAGGAAGTGTTGCCTCCTCTTCAAATTTTTCAAAGATCGTGCTTTCCCCTTGAATGGTCTTGGCATCTTTGTCAAAAATTAATTGGCCATATATATGTGGACTTACTTCTGGGTCCTCTATTCTATTTTATTGGTCTGTGTCTGTCCTTATGTCAGTACCATACTGTTATAATTAATGTAGCATTGTAATAACTTTTGAAATTGGGTAATATGAGTCCTCCAGCTTTATTCTTTTTAAAAATTGTTTTGGCTATTTGGGGCCCTTTGTAATTTCATATGAACTTGGGGATCAGCTTTCCCATTTATGCAAAAAAGGCTTTTGGAATTTTGATGAGAACTGCGTTGAATCTGTGTATCTCTTTGGGTAGTATTGACATCTTAACAATGTTAAGTCTTCCAATTTTCTTTTGAACATGAGATATCTTTCCATTTATTTAGGTCTTCTTTAATTTCATCCAGCAATGTTTTCCAGCTTTCAGCATATAAGTCTTATACCTTCTTGGTTAGATTTCTTACTAAATATTTTATTCCTGTAGGAAATATTATAAATGAAAGGAGTTTCCTAATTTCCTTTTTGGATTATTAATTGCTGTTCTATAGATAGACAAATGACTTGGGAGTATTGATTTTCCCTGCAACTTTGCTGAATTCATTTATTAACCTTATTAACTTTTGTAAATTCTTTGGAATTTTCTATATATAGGATCACACCATCTGCAAAAGATAGTTTTACAACTTCCTTTCCATTTTGGATACCTTTTATTTCTTTTTCTTGTCTTATAGGTCTTTTGTCTTTTTCTGATCTTAGGGGAAAAGCTGTCAGTCTTTCACCATTGAGTATGATGTAAGCTGTGGGTTTTTCACAAATACCTTTATCATGTTGATGAATTTTCCCTCTATTCCTAGTTTTCTGAGTATTTTTATCATGAAACATTATTGGATTTTGTGAAATGCTTTCCTGCATATATTGAGAAGATCATGTGGGATTTTTCTTCATTTTATTAATGAGATGGATTATATTGATTGATTTCCTTATGTTGAACCACCCTTGCACTGCTGAGGTAAATTCCACTTGGTCATAGTGAATAAACTTGTTAATATGATGCTGGATTCAACTTGCTAATATTTTGTTGAAGATTTTTGCAACTATATTTACAAAGAATATTGGTAATTTTCTTTTCCTGTGATGTCTTCATCTGGCTTTGGTATCAGAATAGTGCTGGCCTCATAGAATAAGTTAGGGAGTATTTCCTCCTCTTCAGTTTTTTAAAGTTTGAGAAGGATTAGTGTTAATTCATTAAATGTTTGGTAGATTTCACCATGCAGCCATCTGGCCCAGGACTTTTCTTTGTTGGGAGGTTTTTGATTACTAATTCAATCTCTTTACTTTTTATAGGTCTGTTGAAATATTCTATTTCTTCTTGAGTCAGTTTAGGTAATTCATGTGTTTGAAGGAATTTCTGCTTGGTTATCTAATTTATTTACACACAATTGTTCATTATATTGTCATAATTCTTTTTTTTTTTTAATCTCTGTAAGGTCAGTAGTAGTATCTCCATTTTCATATTAGTTCTTTGGGTCTTCTCTTTTTCTCTGTCAGTTTAGGTAAAGCTTTGTTAATTTTGTTGATCTTTTCAAAGAGTCAACTTTTGATTTCATTGATTTTCTCTGTTGTTTTTCTATTTGGCTTATCTCCACTCTACTTTTTATTTCCTTTCTTCTTTTGGTTTAGTTTGTCTTTTTTGTAGTTCCTAAAGGTGTTATGTTAGGTTATTGATTTCAGATTTTTTTTTTTTATGTAGGCAATTACTGCCATAAATTTCTCTCCTAGCACTGCCTTTGCTGTATACCATAAATTTTGGTATGTGTGTTTTCATTTTCGCTAGTCTTTAAATATTTTCTGACTTATTTCTGATTTCTTCTTTGACCCATTGGTTGTTTTCTTAGTCCATTCAAGGTGCTATAACAAAATACCAGAGACTGAGTAGCTTATAAGCAACAGAAATTTATTTTTCACAGTTCTTGTGGCTGGAATTCGGAGATCAGGGCGCCAGTGTTGCCGAGCTCTCTTCCAGATTGCAGACTTAGCATATCCTCACATGGCAGAAGGAGCTATATAGAGACCTATGGGAACTCTTTATAAGAGTACTAATCCCATTCCTGAGGGCTCCATCCTCATGACCTAAGCATCTCCCAAAGGCCCTACCTCCTAATACCATCACATTGGGCAGTAGGATTTCAACATATGAATTTTGGGAGGACACATTCAGACCACAGCAGTTGTTTGAGAGTGCATAGTTTAATTTCTGCACATTTGTGAATTTTCCAGTTTTCCTTAATTTCTAACTTGATCCTGTTATGTTCAAGTTACCTAGTATGATATCCATCTTTTTAAATCTATTGATACTTGTTTTGTGGTCTAATATAAAAGCTACCCTAGAGAATGTTCCATGTGCACTTGAGAAGAATGTGTATTCTGCGGTTTTGGGGTGGAGTGTTAATTGTCCGTTAGATATACTTGGTTTATTAAGCTGTTCAAGTTCTCTATTTCTTTACTTATCTTCTGTGTGGTTGATCTATCCATTATTAAAGGTGGGGTACTGAAGTTTCTCACTACTAACGTAGAACTGTCTATTTCCTCCTTCAATTCTGTCAATTTTTGCTTCATATATTTTGATGGGTGTTATTACGTGTAAATATTTATTGTTATATCTTCTTGCTGTGTTAAACATTTTATTAATATATAATGACCTTATTTGTCACTTGTAATCTTTTTGGATTTAAAGTCTATTTTGTCTGATATTAGCAGAGACAGCTCAGCTCTCTTTTGGTTACTATTTGCATGAAATAGCTTTCTCCACTCTTCCACTTTCAACCTATTTGTGTCTTTGGACATAAAGTGAGTCACTTGTAGACATCATATAGTTGGATCACGGTTTTTTTTAATCCATTCTGCCAATCTCTATCTTTTGATTGGAGAGTTTAATCCATTTACATGTAAAGTAATTACTGGAAAGGAGGCACTTACTTCAGCCATTTTGCTCTTTGTTTTCTATTATGTCTTATTACTTTTTTATCCCTCATTTCCTCCATTATTCCCTGAAGATTAGGGGTGCCACCTAAAGTGAACTTTGCAAGGTGGGCAGCAGCCTCTCCAGCAGGTGAGTTTGGTAATAAAGAGAATATGGGGGACATTCTAGGCTGAAGTAATAGCACAGCCAAAGAGAATATTTTTTGTTCAAGGAGGCATGAGAGGACCTGTGTGATTGCCAAGAAAAACCTTGATCTTCTGAGACAGAATATTGCCAGGAAGGCAATTTGTATGTATGGTCTTTTACTGGATGTTCAAATCCAACCTATGTTCCTGAAATGTGTGACTCTGGAAGACTTGCTAGAGCCGCCTGAGTCTCAGGTCACTGACGATGCCATAAAGATGATTATGGCACTTACATTATAGTCTGCGGGAGGATGAATAAAAGAAAAACACACCAAGCAACTTACATGTGCCAAGCACTCCATTGTTGCTTACGAATATTTTCTCTTTAATTCTCACAACCACCTGGTAAAGTGGGAATTATTTTTGTTTTGATGCAGAAATCAAGGCTTGAGACATGAAGTAACTTCCCCAAAATTATATAGAAGGTAAGTGTCAGTGTCAATAGGCTGATTCAAACACGGGAATCTGGGTCCAGAGCTAGGAACTACTGCTTGAATGCCGCAACATAAAGCCCTCAGCATACAGTCCAGCTATACAGTATACAGTCCAGGTATACAGCCATGAGGCTCAGCTGCTACTGCTGTTAACAATTACAACAATTACTTGTGTTATTACTACAATTTTTCCCCTATTCATCTGTAATGCCAGAGCTCTTACTTTCTGTGCCTCTCAAGCCACAGAGACTTGTCATTGTTTTTTATTAATGGCTTCTTCAGAGGTTTTTTTTTTTTTCCTAACACAATTGCATCCTGTTTAAAGGCAGTGTCTGACTCCCCCTTGGTACTCTGCACAGACCTAACCTCCCAAGAAGTACTCAGTGCCTTGGTTCTTTCAGGATCTTTACCAACGACTGCACAATGGGCTCTAATCACATCTGACTAGCCCAAGGCTAGTGATTCCAGGCATCATTGAAGGTTTTCAATGACATGGTTGTAACCTCTATTCAGGAACAGTCAGGGCAGTTGCACTCAGCCCACAAGACCTTGTACTGAGAGGTGATGCCAAAGTCCTTTAGGCTTCTTGTCTCACTGGGTAAAGCTTCACCTCTCCTCCATATGGAGACCTCCTCCTTCGTTCTGCCCTTTCTCCAAAACACATCTGTAGAGCACCCTCCCAACTTCCTGCAGCCCTGCTGTATTTGTGTCTCATCTTCTCCTATCTGGTGCTCTTTGTGTCACCTCACAATGTTTTGGGTAATAAATATATTCCCCCTCAAAATGGTTCAAATACCAAGTGAGAATCTGTTGGAAGAAAATGGAAGCATCATATAAGAACCCCCCAAAAAGTGAAACAGTAAGTAGATAAGAGTGGCAAGTGACTAGGAAGACCCAGCAGAAAATGTGACATTTGAGACCAGAATGATGAACCAGCCATGTGAAGATAATGATGATGATGATAGCTAGTACTCACTGAACGCTTTTGAGGTACCAGGCATCATAAGCATTTTATCGCAATTAACTCAATCTTCGTAACAACTGTGTGGCATGTTATCACCACCATTTTACAGATGGAGAAACTGAGGCATAAGTGAAGTAATTTGTCCAAGGTCATACAAAGCCAGTATACATGCAAGTTGGATTTCTACCCTCTAGCTTTCTTTCCCTAGTTCAGCATCACTGGGAAGTACTTCAAATCAACTGTAAAACATTATCATGTGTATGCTCATGCTTTTTAAATGACTAAGCATGGGTATTTGGATGAATCCTCTCATAACAAAATAAGATGGCATAAAACTATGTGTACTGAAAGCAAATAAAATCTGGGGGATTAAAGGACTACTTCACCTTTGAGGTACCAGTGCTTGGGAGAGCTGAAGGACAGAGAATGTGAGAAACAGAAAGATACTGCCATTATCCCACAACTATATATACATAGCAGCCAGTCTATCCATAATTACAACTGTTCTTAATCCTTGTTTGATACCATGCCATGCTTCCTTAATTATCAATCTCTCAAAGATCCTTCAACATTTCATAGAATATCAAAATAAATCTCATGACTAAAAATAAATCAAAGGAAAGATTAAGTCCTTGCTTAATATTAAAACTTCACCATCCCATTCCAAACCCACTAACTCTATTGAGAATTGCTATGGAACGTGCCTTCACCTCTTGGCTTTCACTTAAGGCAGCACAAGTACTAGGCTCAGAGAATAACTTGTCTAAAGTTGGAAACACTATCACTCATTTCACACTAGAATTATCGTATCAGTGACATTCCTTTTTAAAATAATTTTACTTATTACTATCAAATATCATAGAGAACATAATCTGAAACATGAGCTACAGTAGCCCCCCTTAGCCGCAGTTTCACTTCCTGCTGTTTCAGTTACCCACAGTCATCCATGGTCTGAAATACAGTGCAGCATTTTGAGACAGATCACATTCACCTAACTTTTATTACAGTATATTGTTATAATTGTTCTATTTTATTCTTATTGTTGTTAGTCTCTTACTGTGCCTAATTTATCATAGGTATGTATGTATAAGAAAAAACATAGTATATATGGAGTTTGGTTCCAGGTATCCACTGGGGGTCTTGGAACGTATCCCCTGCAGATAAGGAGGGACTAATGTCCATAACTGCCCTTTACATTAAATAGTATTTACACAATCCTAATCATTGATCTGTATTACCTTTATCATCACAAGATAGGAAACCATGGAGACAGAAAAGACTATTCCATTTATTATCTAAAATTTAGAATATCTGAAGCCATCCTCCTTACAAACCATAATCGTCTGTCAAAGTACAGTGCAGAAAACAAAACTCTCAAGTATTTCAAGAAGACACATATTGCAGGCAATTAATGCTTTCAAAATTGGTGGGCAGGCTGGAAAAGTAATGGGGATGGCTCTGGACTATTAATTTCAAAGTAAATCCCCATTATGATCCAGGGTTGGAGAAATGACTACTGCTGTTACCAGTGCTGCTGCCAGCAGTACTCCTCAAAGCCACAAAACTTAAAACTAGACATTAGATCATGGAGTTTAGCTGCAGCAAAGATGACAGAACTTGCTTGTCTGCTTTGCACAGAATGACCCCCAGAGTGCATATGCCCACACAGCAACATAATTAGTACTCTTCTTTTAGAATTTAGATTAAAAAGCACATCCACAGTTAAGCCTGTTCTGATCTCTCATAGTATGTTTCTTGGTTATGTTCTCACAGCACTTGTAAAAATTAAAATGTGTGAATTAAGCCACCTAGAAATGGACTGTGAATTATCCTCACCAAAATAATGACACTCCTAGCAGAGATCAGGCCACTTTTCTCTAGGCTTGCTAGTCTCCCACTGAAGACTATAGAAAGGCTGATCTTAATTCTTCAAGAGGAAAGTAGTGGAAAATTCTGCAAGAATTACCAGTGTCACAGTGAAAGAGTTTACTATACACAAAACGATTTTATTAGAGACCAAAAATTTTATCCACATCACTTTTTACTTCTTTTGCAGTTTTAATTTTCAACCTTATAACATTTACTGGATCCAGTGGGCAACTCAGTATCTTCACATGCCCATTAGCTAACTTCTATGTAGGACTCGAGTAAAATTGCATGCTACTGCTATAAGAAATGCATATTCACTTATGCTTGTTTGCTCTCCTGCAAAATTGTTTACAAATAGCATCATTGCAAAGAAAGATTTACACTTAATTCCTACATCTCCTACATCCTTCAGAGTGTTCTAGCATTAATCTTCTGATGTCTAGCAAGATTAGAACTTAGTGAACACTTTGCTACATTTCTTACAGAAGCTTTCTCTCCAGTGTGAGTTCTGTGATATAGAATGAGAAATGCACTTTAAACGAAGGACTTGCTACAATTTTTATATTCATATTGCTTCTCTCCTATGTTTGTTTTATACGAGATTCATATCGCCTAATGTCTTTCCCATATTTGTTACATATATAGGGTTTCTCTCCATTGTGGACTGACTGACGTCAATTAAGGGATTAATACTGGCTAAAGGCACATTGACTGCCTTCATACGGTCTCTCTCCAGTGTGAACTGTGATGTACAATAAGGTTTGTACTATTGCTAAAGACCTTCATTCATTACATTCATAAGACTTCTCCAGTATAAGTTTTCTGATGTTGAATCAGAGAGGATCTATGGCTAAAGTATATTACAAATACTTCATTCAAACAGTTTCTCTCTTGTATGACTTTTCACTTGTATAGTGATTCATACGGCCTAAAGGCTTTTCCACACTTACTGCACCACTGGGCTTCTCTCCACTATGTATTCTCTGATGGGCAGTAAGATTTGAGCCTTTGCTAAAAGCTTTCCCACATTCACTACATTTATATGGCTTTTCTCCAGTATGAATTCTCTGATGTACAGTAAGGTTTGAACTACAGCTGAAGGTCTTCCCACATTTAATACATTCATAGGGTTTCTCTCCAGTATGAATTCTATGATGTTGAAGCAGGGATGACCTATGACTAAAGGCTTTCCCACATATACTACATTCGTAAGGTTTCAATCTAGTGTGATTTCTCAAATGCATACTCAGTGATTCAGGCTGGTTGAAGGATTTCCTGCATTTTTGACATTCAAAGGGTTTTTCTTCAGAATGAATACTCTGATGCTGAATAAGAAATGAGAGGCTGCTAAAGACTTTCAGACATTTGTTGCATTCAAATTGTTTCTCTATAGTGTGAATTCTCTGATGTCGAGTAAGGTGTGAGCTACAGCAAAAGGCTTTTCCACATTCACTGCATTCATAAGGTTTCTCTCCAGTATGAATTTTCTGATGGTGAATGAGAGATGACCTATGAATGAAGGCCTTCCCACATATTCGACACTCATAGAGTTTTTCTTGAGTATGAATTCTCAGATGTTCAATGAGATGTGAAACACGACTAAAAGACTTTCCACAGTTCATACATTCATATGGTTTTTCTCCAGTGTGAGTGCTTTGATGATTTGTAAGTGACGAGACATGGCTAAAGGCCTTCCCACAGTCAATACATTTGTAAGGTTTCTCTCCACTGTGGCTTATCTGATGTCGAGTAAGGGATGAGCCATGACTAAAAGTCTTCCCGCATTCACGACATTCATAGGGTCTCTCTCCTGTATGAATTCTCCAATGGCGATTAAGGGTTGATTGTTTGCCAAAGGCCTTCCCACATTCACCACATGTATAGACTTTCTCTCTGTCATAAGCCTGGTGAAGGGTAAGAGATTTGCTCTGGCTGAAGGCTGCCACATTTTCATTAGAATTCAAAAGTTTCTTCCCACCACTCATATTCTCCTTTTTTATAAGTGACTTTTTTGGTAAGTTCTTCTTAAATGTATCATGTTTATGTGATTTCCCTTCAGCAGAAATTCTCTGTGGTTCAGAAAGAATAGACTTTAAGTGGAAAATGCTTCCAAACGTACTGTATTTGTAAACACTTTCCCCAGTGGGACTCTCTCTAAAGGTGAGGGTCACTGGTCTGAAATGTTCTACCTGATTTTCGAGCTTCCCCTCCAACTTCTCTACATATTCCTGGTCCTTGTTAAAATTTGGAAATTCATGACTTTGTTTTATAATTTTTTCTATTATTACCGTTTTGGGTGAACCTTCATCATAAATATCCTCCTTTGTTGACAATTCCTTGTTTCCCCATCTTGATTCCCAACCTGAAATATACCAAGAAAGAGAAACACTGCTTTTTCTGTTCTTCCTGAAAAGGAATTCCTATGGTAGAAATAAGAGAATAAAAATAAAGATAAAAATAAAACTGGATAAAAAATAAAGTGTCCCCCCCCCCCTCCAAAACACATGGCTCTGACAACTCTCATATATTCAGTGACTTCTGAACAAAGTTCGAATGGAGCACTGAGAATACAGACAGCTCAGAGAGGCTGGAACAGAGTGTAAGATGGGACATGGGTTAAATACAGGCAATCAGTAGGTGGAAAAAAATGAAACTATCAGAAAGAAAATGTGGAGGGCATTCTGGATCCCAAGCCAACATTTTCTACCTATATTTATGTGAAAGACCACATTTTGCCTCACAGCCTTGGTTCCCCAACCTTCAATGAATCTCAATTTGCTGTCATATTAGTATGCTTAAAATGCAGAATTTATAGTGCTGCATTAAACAGTTACAATGACAACAAAATATTCTAAATATTCTTCATGGTTCAGAAAGATTTAGGCTTTATGAGTTTATGCAGGATCTATGTGAAATCATATCACTTACTGGACATTAGAAAATATTGTTCCTAGAAAGCTTCTTACACATTCCTTACTTTCTCTAACACTTATGTTTATATTTCATCTTTGAAGCTCAATCTTAGAGGAAAAGCGACTTTCCATTTCACTGACAGTTTCTCTTAGCCTAAAACCATCAATATATTTTTCCTAAAGAAGACTTAAAAATAATAATATGCTTTATTTTGTTTCAAATAAAATAATTTGAATTATGATGGCAAAATCCTCTACTTTTGAGATGACACAAGTAATACAGAAAGATGATAATTTGAAACAGGAAGTGGTGGTTTTGAAATCTAAGCTAAGGATCCCTTAATTTTGTTACATTTGGGATCTCTGAAGATAGTATCCCTAAAATATCCTAAAATGCCTCCACACTTTCTTTTTTTTTTTTTTGAGGAAGATTAGCCCTGAGCTAACTACTGCCAATCCTCCTCTTTTTGCTGAGGAAGCCTGGCCCTGAGCTAACATCATGCCCATCTTCCTCCACTTTATATGTGGGATGCCTACCACAGCATGGCGTGCCAAGCAGGTGCCATGTCCGCACCCAGAATCTGAACCGGCGAACACCGGGCCACTGAGAAGCGGAACGAGTGAACTTAACCGCTGTGCCCCAGGCCGGCCCCCGCCTCCAGACTTTCTACAAGCATCTTTAACAAAGATCTCTTTTGCCTGATTCACCATAACTTACCTGAATACACACCTTCTGACAGTTTTTTCTCCACCATCCAAGGTTCTTTCCCATCCTCCAATAAAGTGATCACATATGGCTTAGGTATAGAAAGACCTGCTTGTAGAAAAAATACACAACTTGTTTAAGCTGTGGTCCTCATGGAGGAGAGGCCACCATCACAAAAGGGACAAAAGGAAGGTTTGAAGGATGTTCACTGAAATGGAAAGATAAGCTTCAGGCAGCGCATAAAAGAGCTATACGTTTCCTTGGAAACGTGAAATAAAAATGCAGCAATTTACTCAGGAGGATCTCTAGTAACTCAAAGTGGCAGAAGAAAGATCTCCCTCATTGGGGTGGAGGGGGAGATATGCTTACCTAGAGAGACCAGGTTCTCATAATTCTGCACCATCACATCCTTGTATAAATCCCTCTGAGCAGAATCTAGCCATCCCCACTCTTCATGAGAGAAGTCTATGGCCACATCACTAAACGTCACCTGAAACAGCAAACACATTTAGGCTCAACCATAGCCCAGGTCTCTTCTGTCACCAATCACAGGGTAAAATTACCCTGGCTGTGGAAGAAGGGAATAAGATTTAGCAGTTGTAACAAGGATCAGGAATCTAAGTTGAGTAATAATTGGATAATTATGTGTTTGACATTGTTATACAATAAGGGTAAAAGACAAATACAAGAGCTATGCTTTAGGAGAGTTAACTTTGTCAAAGGGAATAGAATTATAAAACTTTTAAAAATCAGCATTCAACTCTTGACAGCACATGGACAAGTGCTTAGTCATGTTTTTATAGTTTACATGCTAGGTAAGTAATAAAAAATGATGATCCACTAAGGTTCAAAAGAAAAAGTGATCCAACAGGTTCTGAAAAAAGATATCTTTATATTAAAGACAGACAGAAACATAACTAATTTATAAACAAAAAACAAAAACATTTATGATATATAACTCAACCGTATACTGATAATCAATCTATAATTAAAATAATTTGAGACCCCTGGGCAAAAAGACTAAAGGATGGTTTCATGCCATAGGTAGCCCTTGAATAGGATCTTAAAGTAAGGGCAAAGAATAAAACAAAGGATACATTTCAAGAAAAATATTTTAAGGAAACAGATTTCTTCTCAACAGCACTCATTCATGGTATTATTTAAAATAGCAAAACTTTAGAAAAGCTTAAATGTTCAATAAGAGCTTACTGGTTAGTTGAATTATAATATGTCCCAGAAATGTAGATAATATGCGCATGCAATTAAAATGGCATCATTACTATCTTTCATTGGTGAAATAGACATTGTTTGGCTATGGTAAATTTTTCCATCCAAGAGTGGTTGATTCAATATTCTATTACTTTATTTGGATATTTTGCATGTATGTCTACCCGTGACACTGTTCTCTGGTTTTAAAGAGAGAATTTACCTTTGTGAGGTGTTGAGGAAAGAATTAAAAATCAAATCTGCCAACCAGAGAATCCACTCCACAATGCAGACAAGAAAGAGAACAGTTTTATTATTGAATAAGCATTAAATCAGACTGTAATACACTTCACAGGCAATCAGTAATGAGACTGCAAGGACAGAAAGAAATCTCACCCTTTTATAAAACCAGGCAGGTATAATCCTTTACATGTATGTTTTCAAAATAAATAATAACTTGTCCTCGAGTAAGAGGATTTGACAGCATTTTTTGCTGTACATAGTTCACCCTAAATTCACCTGGTAACTGGAGTGGCCATCTGCCTTTACCCCAAAGGAAAACAAAACTTGTCTATCTTTATGACAAGTAGGTGGATAGAACTTGAAGCCAGCAGCCTAGGCTAAACTCTTGCAAAGAAAGGGAGACAGGTGCATCTCCCTTCATGTTTCCATTTCAAAGAAGTGGCTCCAAGGCCCTTAAGAAAGACTTTACTGCCTCGTAAAATTGGCAGAGGCTTATTTAGCTTTGAAAAAGGTTTACAAGTATCTCAAAGGGACATAGAAAGGATTTACAATTACAGGTTTTTCTCAAGGAAATGGAAAGAGAGAGACGGTCTCCTTCCCTTTTGGAACCAGGGAAAATTCTTTTTTACATTTGTATTTACTCTCACCCAGGTATTAGGATTATGCTACCCTTGTCATATGAGCTGAAAAATTCTCCATCTTTTCCTACTGTCCACGATGGTCTTAAAACGATTGGCTTTCACAAATCGCACCTGATAAACCAAATACAATCATATGCTGCATAATGACGTTTCAGTCAACAACAGACCACAAATACAACAGTGGTCCCGTAAGATTAGAACCATCTAGCCCAGGTGTGCAGTAGGCTATACCATCTGGGTTTGTGTAAGTATACTCTATGACGTTTGCACAACGACAAAATCACCTAAGGATGCATTTCTTTGTTTTTAAGCGACACACGACTGCAAAAAAAAAAAACAACACCCTATTAAATGCATAAAACACAATGTTTTATTCCACCAATGCAAAGATATTTCATATTTTAAACTTTGAAAACATATTAATGAATGTCATTGAATTAATAGTCTAAAGAAGAAAACCTACATAATCTCATTAATAGATACTCTTTGCTCTTTGTTTAGATCAGGGTTTCTCAACCTTGGCACTACTGTCACTTTAGGCTAGATAATTCCTTGTTGTGGGGAGCTGTCCTGTGCATTGTAGGATATTGAGTAGCATCCCTAGCTTCTACCCATTAGATGCTACTGGCAACTCCCCTCCTGCTGTAGGGTTGTGACAACCAAAAATGTCTCTAGGCATTATCAACTGTCCCCTATGGGTGGGGCTAAGGGGGACAAAAATCACCCCATTTGAGAACCACCACTTTAGAAAATGTTTGCAGTTCCTTGAAGGGCTCTCTTAGGCCTCTCTACCTAAACTCGAGGCGTTCTCCCAGTTCAGTATAACTTCACTTTCACCTCTGCCTCCCCAGTACTGTGGGCCAGAAAACCACTTCCAGCCCTGCTTCCCCAGGGGCGCTTCAGCTCTTCCTTCCCCCTCAATTGCCTGGGCAGCCTGGGATGTTCATTTATCTTTGTCCCCAGAAGAACTTAGGGTATTTGTCCTAGCACTTAGGTTAACTTCTTATGCTTTCTTACTTTTCTACCAGTCTTGTACCGCTCAATCAGTAGCCACTAGCCACATTTGGCTATATAAATCTAAATTAATTAAAATTACAAATTAAATAAAATTAAAAATTCAGTTCCTCAGTCACTCTAGCCACAGTTCAAGTACTCAACAGCCATACGGGGCTAGTGGCTACCACACTGGACAGCACACATATAGAAATTTCCACCACTGTAGAAAGTTCTCTTAGACAGTCTTGTGCTAGATCATGAAGTCCCACATGTCAGTATATACTCAAACCTATGTAAGTTTCTTCCTAACAGGTACTTCACAAGTGTTTGGAAAATGAGTCAATGAACGGTTTGGCAATTAGTTCACTTTAGCTTTTACTTGAAAAAAAATAGTTTTTTCAATTCTAATATTTTCAAGAAACCAGACTCTGCCCAACACGCACATCTGCCACTCATCCCTTCTCTTGTGCAGGCTTCACCTTCCACCCATGATTCTGCCCCACTATTTCTGCATCACTCATTCATTCAACAACTATATACTAAGCATCCATTTTGTGCCAGGTACCACTCTGGGTACTAAAGATAATACAGTCAACAGAAAAGAAAAAATATCCCTCTCGGTGGGAGGAGACAAACAATGAGCATATGTATTACTAACTATACAGTGTATCATATAATGAGTGATAAGTGCCGTGGAAAACAACAAAGCAGTGATGGAGAAGAGGAAGTGATACTCAAGAGAAGGTAACTGCAACTTTAAATAGGTGTTCAGGGAAGCTTTTCTGAGAAAGCAACCATTGAGCAAAAATAAAAGGCAGTAAGAATGCACACTTGGGCATGTCTCGGGAAGGACTATTCCAAGCAGATGGTACAGCAACTTCCAAGGCCTGGAGGCAGCTGCCTCTGTGGCTGGAGCCCACAGGTAACAAGGAGACAGAGAAGGAAGATGAGATCAGAGAAGTAACAGAGAGCCTAAGTGTACAAATGTTTTCAAGTCATATAGAACGCTGACTTCTACTCTGAGGTAGCGCACCAAGACTTTCAAGCTGAGGAATGACAGGATTTTAGACAACATGAGGATCACCGTGACAGCTGTACTGAGAAGAGACTGAAGAGGGTGAAGGGCACAAGCAGAGAATCCCGCTAGGGGGCTACCTCAATGATCTAGGTGGCTTGGACCAGGGCGACAGTGGAGGTGGCGGTGACGGGTAACCCGTGGCCGATTCTGTAGACATCCTGTATATATTTTAGATCAACTGCAGTGTCCGCATGTGAGTTATAAGAGAATGGGAGGAATCGAGGATGACTCCAAACATCTCCTGACTTGAACAACTGAAAGGACTGAGGTACCATTAATTCAGACCACATTATACAGCTTTGATAACCATAAAGCAAATAACCTAAAATTCTCAACTCGAATTTTGAATTAATAAAAAAACAAGTTTTGCTCAAGACTACTGAGGCTTCTAACAGAAAACTGTTAGGAAAGAGGAGCACTGAGATAAGACAGCATTTTGGAGTTCTGCGGGCTCCAGCCTTTCCCATAACGAAAGGAATCAGAGATCCAGTCTTTTAAGGACTTCTTAAGGGGGAAACTGGTAGGAGAAGCAAAGCAAGCACTCCGGAGGCCTGCTAGGTGCTTCAGGAAGATGGGGACACGCCGACTTACCTGGAACATGACTTCGCAGTTCCCGATAGTCAACAGGCCTCCTTGCAGGCTCCCGTCTTACAGAAGGGCAGCGTCCTGGGAAGGCGGATCAAGAACAGGAAAAAGCCGTCAGGAAAACGCAGGCTTCTCCTGCAGCTCTGCCACGCGCCTGGAGGGAAAAGCACGCTGGAGGCAGCTCCCAGGGCTCCACGCTGGCCCTGACTCGCACAGCGTTCCCCGGCACGGCGTAGCCACCGGGTGCCGCCTGCGCGCACATCAACTATTGCACAGAGGAGACACACTCGGAAAACAACAGTAACGGTGTCAAGAGTCCGCTCCATCTCCACCACCATGCACGGCGGGCATTCACGGTACTACGGATTTCTTTTTTAAACGACGAGGAAACAAACTCAGCAACTGTTCACGGTTACACAACTGGGAAGCGTCAGCTTCACGATGGGTGACAGAAACCACCGCAGACGGCGTTTGCCCCAGCGCGGGCTGTGCACGCCCGCTCGCCCGCGTCCTCCCGGCTCCCCCGTTCCGCGCAGGCCCGAGCGGCCCGCACAGCCAGGGCCCCGCCGGCGCGCACACCGCGGGGCAGACCCCGAGACCAGCAGGGCCCGGGGCCGCTGGCCTGAGGCCCGCCGGCCGCCCGCCGGGCCCCACACTTGCCTGACTCCGCAGCGGGACCTCCGGGCCCCGAAGCCCGCGCTGGGCCTCGCCCGGTGCCCCGAGGCGTCCAAGGCGGGCACCTCCGAGGACCCGACGCGCCGGGTCGCGCCTAGCGGACGATAGCCGCTGCCCCCGCACCCTGCCCAGAGGCCTCCCAGGTTCCAGGACGGAGAATCCGCCGGCTGGCCAGAAGCTACCGCGGGGTGGACCAAGGGCGAGGGCCCCAGCCCGGAGCAGCACTTCTAAGGCGACTCCGCCTCAGGGACAAAAGTTACCGGGGCCTCGCACGGTAGCCTCCTGAAAAACCACACGTCCCAGAAGTCTCCGCGGCCGCACGCGTTCTCGGCGCACCGCGAGAAAAACGGCCCGGGCTCCCTAAGAAACCACAGCGCCTGGGGCCGTCGTCGCAGAGTGGCTCAAGCAGGACACAGATGCAAAGTATCGAGAGGACAACAGTCGTCTCTGGAGAACTCTGCTTCCCAGAACCAACGGCAGCCCTCTACGGGCGTTGTGAAGACAATGACTTCCGAACCACAAAACTACACTTCCCAGAAGATGATGCGGCCGCGAAAGGTCTTCCGGGTCATTCGTTCGCTCGCACAGAGGTTCTTCTGCCCGCGCACGGGCGGCCCCTGCTGCTGCCGGACAGGAACTGGCCTCTACCCTGGTAGGGCTCTCATCAGAAACCCTCTCCACGCTGTCCAGCTCGTGTGTGCCCGCAGCATTTGGCGCCCACTTGCCCTGGACTATATTTCCCAAAATGCCATGTGTCTGGGGTGTCACAACAATAATTGAGGACAAGCGACACTTCCCGGCAACTCATGCGGTCACGTCATCGGTGTGACTCTGACGACCGCTCTGAAGTGCTACTCGCCCTCGAAAGGCTCAGAAATATCAGACTCGAGGGAGCTCACTGAGGACAAAGACCTCAGTCCTGGGAAGAATCGCTCCCGTAACCGACAGAGCCTGACCCGCCTGTCCCCAGACGCGCTTCTTAGTTTGTGTCCTTGTCCAGCCCAGGCAAATGGGCGCTGGACACATGCGCATAGGCCAGAGCAATCTACTGTTGGTGTCTATGTGGGTTGTTCCCTTTACTTTCTTTTCTAAATTTAATTTAATTTATTTTTTAAAATTATAAAAAGTACGACTATGAATTTTCTTGTAGAGGTCATGTATTCATGTGCATAAGATTCGTTAGACAGTGCTTCCACTTTGGTACATCTTGTGGCTGTGGAATTTAACCCCGGTAGCAGCAGTAGTTTTAAAAAACATTGTCACATCAGCTAGATTCCTCTCCAAGCTTAGAGTATGTAACAAGGAAAGATTTGCCAGTGCAAAGTGTATTCCCATCTACGTCTTTATTGTACAATGGCAAATTGTTTTCCAGTTGTACCAATTTGCGCTGCTATCATAGTTCATAGTTATTTTGGTTGCCAACTATCAGTGCCAGCTCTTGATTTTGTGAAACTTTCCAATTTTGCCACTCTGCTAAGTGTGACATTATAACTCATCATGGTTTAAATTTGCATTTCAATTATTGTTAATAAGATTGAGAATCTTTTCATGTGTCTGTTGGCTTTAGTATTTCCTGCTCTGACAATTGCATGTCTTTTGTTCAATGTTCTTTTAGAACAAAGGCCTTTTTAATATTAAAGTTCAACTTACATAGAAAAATGCAAGATGTTAAAGGGGGAGTGCAGAGACTAGGATATTAAAATTTATTTCCTCTTTAGAATCCTGGACTTTGACCTGGATTCAGTAACCAAATGTGTTTTCTACAGTTTTTGTATGTTTCAGGACGTTAAGTTCTCCCATTTATCGCCGGCTTGGGATATGTTGAGCCCCTTGAATCTGTGAAGTGGCATCCTCCTGTGCTCAGCACATTTTTCTTTCTTCATATACTGCCCTTTCCCCATTCTTTCCCTCTCCTCTTCTTGTGAACTCCAATTAGCTGTAAAGTAGGTCTTTCCACTCTATCCTCCACGTGCCTTAAATTCTCCTCTGTAATTTCCATCTTTCAGTCTCTGTACTGCATTCTGGATAATTTATTCTGATCTATTTACTGTTCATGATTCCCTTTCCAGGGGATTTTTCTTATTTCGATTTTTCAAAGATTTTTGTAACATTGTAGGCACAGTTGATCCATAATGTGCATCTGATAGTACCAATAACTCAAGGTTTTATGAATCTCTTTGTAAATTTATTTTTATTTTATTTTTTAAATTTATTTATTTTTTTCCTTTTTCTCCCCAAAGACCTCCTGGTACATAGTTGTATATTCTTTGTTGTGGGTCTTTCTAGTTGTGGCATAAGGGATGCTGCCTCAGCGTGGTTGGATGAGCAGTGCCATGTCCGCCCCCAGGATTCGAACCAACAAAACACTGGGCCATCTGCAGGCGAACTTAACCACTCGGCCACGGGGCCAGCCCCTGTAAATTTGTTTTTTGAATTCTTCACTCAGTTTGCTTTGTTTTGTTTTTGGTTGGTTATCTTTGTGTGTCTCTCTGTCTTTGAAAAGAGATTTTATCAGGCTTCCCAGTATCCTTGGATGAAAGTGCCTTTCTTTTCTAGAGATTATATAATTTTATTTTCAGACAAGATCTGGGATTATCACCGCTCTGGAACCACTTTAAACTATGCTAAAGACATAAAGGCCCTGCTCAGTCCACTCAGAAAATCTTACATAGGGACTCTTCATTGTTGCTGCTTTTCCTCATGAGCTTCCTGGAAGAATTATGACGCCTTTCCATCATAAGCCCTCAGATATCTGGGACATGAATTAAGTTCATCGGGGAGCAGGGAGCTAACATTAAAGAACTAGATGTGATTAGGGGAAGAGGTGAGAAGAACTGTAAATGGAGGCCTAGTCCTCTTGTTTCAATAGATACGTCTGGCCAGTTCTTAACATTGCTTCAATGCTGGACCCCTAACATGTGAGTGCTCCGTGATTTGCATTATTAACAGAAAGGATAGAGGCACTCCGATGAGTAGAGACTAAGGAGGAGAAATGCAGGGGCAGGTGGAGTGGGGATCCACAGGCATAAGTAAGCCAGTTTTAAACACATATGCCAGTCCCTTGAGAAAGAAAACAGGGCCAAGAAAGATCAATAAGGAGAGAGGAAAATACTACATGCCATGCAGAACCCACTCCCACCAGCCCTGAGCTGCCTTCTTTCCCTTTTCTGTTAGGCAATATTTGCAGTAAATGATTTTGCTATTGGAATTTATCTGGTCAAGGGCACATTTTAGAATATGAACTTCAGAGAAGAAAAGCCAGTTCATGTTGATGCTGAAACTGTTCCAAGACTGAGGGTGATTAGGGAGTTTGGGATTCTAGCTTCCAGAGACATCAAAAACCATATGTATTTGCCATAGAGAGAAACTCCTGCTGAGACCTCTGGCAGAGATCTTTGTCCCTGTCCCTGGCTCATCCTCTCCCTTTCACTTTGGAATAACCCTACACGTCCCACTATGCGCCAAAGTTTTAAATCCAAGAGTCTAGTCCCAGTTCTGTCACTGGTTTGAAGAACTGTCCACACCCAATCGGGCCCAAGCCTGACCCTAAAATGCCCAATATTGAACCTGTGCAGAGCCTCCAACAAGACCTTTGTGTTGTCTCCTTCCACTCTTGAGGACCTCTGACATCCTGCATCACAGATTATTTATCAGTATCAGGCTGACACCAGACTCAAGGGTGAACCCAGTAGGCAGTGCCAGGTGCACATACGTTTGACCAACAGCGTACAGCCATTGCTTGGTAGATTGGCTGGGTTCCCTGAGGGACACTAAGAGCTGGTGTCAAGGGCCCTGTTTGTGACTATCATGGGGAGAAGGGTGCCCATCTCACTTTTGTCCCTCTCAGATCATAAAGGAATTGAAACAAGCCTTGCTTTACTTCCATAAGAAGGGACTTCGCTTACACCTTAAGCCTGAGAATACCCTCATGGGACTTACTATGTAGAGAGCTCAAATTTTTCCTACTTGTTGACTTTGCATGATTTCTCTAAAAAAATAGCTTGGGGAAGATGAACTCCAATATGTATGTTAGTCTTGGAAAATAAGTGGATGGAAGAAAAGTGTCACTGTTTTTGTAAAAAGTTCAATAAACACTGCTGCAAAATTAAAAAAAAAAATTCATTCTGTCTACCTATAGAAAGTGACTTAACATGCTAATCTATTGAAAGAAAGTTATCACTTATTCACAAATATAGATTTGTATTTTGTGTACTTTTATCCTTTTTCATTCAATCCATTGTGAATGTCTTGCTATATTAGCAACGTATCACCTACGTTGTCATTAGAATGTCCACAGTGTCCCATATTAAGAATCGTAACAGGAACAGATTTAAGCTGTCTCCCCTTGGCGAACATTTGCTTTGTGCTTAGATTTTTGCTTAAATGTGTGAAGAATATCCTTGTACATACATTGTTGCATATATATTTGGGGTTTCTTTTAATGTTAAGTCCCCAGATTCTATATTACTGGCCAAAGAATTTGCCCATCTCTGGGCTTCTTTGATACGTAGCAACAGAATGCCCTGAAGAAGCCTATTCTGTTCTGTGTTTGGTCCTTAAGACAAAGTCTGGAGTTTTCTAGAATCTAGTTCCAAGTTTTTTGGTAACTGGTGAAGGGGTCTACCAGCCTCTGGGACCCCTTTTTAGTGTATTCTCTTTCACCCAAACTGTAGGAGGAAAACAGCATGTGGGGCTCTGGACTGCCTGTACGAGTGGTGATTGAGGACCACAACCACAATGGGGCCCTCACCTGTGAGCTGCTGGTGGGTCCCTGCCGTTCAAGAGCTGCTCCTGAAGGAAGAACTAAAGGCCTGAGAGGTTGTTTTGGTGCATCGTTTGGGGCTGTAGTGGTCTGTACCAACTAGGGGGCACTGAGGCAGCTTTTGGTCCATCTCATTCCCTAATTGGGGGAAAGGACAGCAGGACATTGTCAGAAAAACATTGACTATAATGTTCCACCATGAGCACCTCTGAGAAGCTGCCCTGGTCCAGGTTTTGGAGGAGCCCAGTTCGGGCCCACTCTCAAAAGCTCTTGCCACCTTAAATTCAGTCTTATTTCCAGAGCCCTCTCTGCCACAAGTACCTTCCTGAGTGTTCAGTGAAGGAGGAATCCCAGTATGGTCTTTTGTCTGTCTTATGTCCTCTGTGACAGACATACAGTTGGTACTCAATAAATGTTCTATGTACCCTGCTCTGATGGTTAATTTTATGTGTCAACTTGTTTAGGCTATGGTGCCCAGGTGTTTGGTTAAACACCAGTCTAGCTGTTGCTGTGGAGGTGTTTTTTTTTTCAGATGGGATTAACATTTAACATTAAGTCAATAGACTTTGAGTAAAGTAGATTACCCTCCATCATGTAGATGGGCCTCATACAATCAGTCAAAGATCTTAAGAGAAAATGATTGAGATTCCCTGAGAAAGAAAAAGCTCTGCCTCCAGACTGCCTTCAGACTCAAACTTCAACGTCAACTATCCCCTGGGTCTCCAGCCTGCTGGCAAGAACTCAGACTTGCCAGCACCCACAATCATGTGAGCCAATCCCTTAGAATAAAAACATCTCTATCTCTGTCTCTGTCTATCTAATTTATGAACACACACACCCCTTATTGGTTCTGTTTTCTCTGGAGAGCCCTGACAAATATGGCTGCCATCTGTCTCATGGAGCTGATTCTGTGCACTGTCACCATGCTCTACTATACTGCTCTATGGGCTCTGGAGCATCACTATTAAAAAATGCTAACCTTTTCTTAACACTAACCCTTTCCTGACACCTAGGCAATAATATCCCCTAGCAATACATGTACTTCCTGCAATTGGCCATTCTCTCTCTTTAATCAACACTTTTTTCTCTCTTTGCTAGATCTTTCCCATCATCTTTCGGACATGCTTAGGTGTCTGGAATAGCCTCGTCTTTTAAAAACCCTCTCTTTACCCAAAACTCCCTCCAGCAAATGCTCTACGTCTCTTCTATTCTTAGTAGAAAAGCTTCCTGGAAACTTTTTCTACATTAATCTTCTTTAATTCTCACTTCACAATCTCTCCATAACTATGCCATTTCAGAGAGCAGTCCTATTATTTTCCTGAGACTGCTTTTCTCTAGGTGAGAGTAACCTCCACTTTGCTAAATCTGAGAGTTGCTGTTCTGTTATTACATTTCTTGGCCTCTTGACATTTGACGCAATTGACCACTTTCTCATTCTTAAATCTCTTCTCTTGGTTCTATGACACTACATTTTTCTCAATTTTCATCCTAATAGCTGCTGCTTCTCAATTTCCTTTACTTGTTCTTCATCTTTTCTTTGATCTCTAAATGTTAAAGGGACACAGAACTTGATATTTGGCATCCATTTTCCATATTTCCTATATATGTTCTTCTATGCATTTCCATGTGTTTTAAATCATTTTTCAAAAATGACTCCCAAGTCTTCATCTATAGTCCAGCCTTTACTCTCCTGGGAACTCTCAATCCGTACAGCTAGCTCTTTACCTCCCAGCTCGTTTTTGTTGTTCATTGGCAACTCAAACTCCACATGCTTCACGTGGCCCGCCCGGAGGTCTTGATAGTCTCCTCATCCCACTCCTCTTTCAAGGTCCCACCATTTAGTAAATGGAATCACCATCCACCTATTAGATAAAGCTGAACATCCACACATTTTCCTTTATTCCCCTTTTGTCTTCACTTACCCTCCCCACACATCCATTCCAGCAGAGAGGGTTGTTTTCAATGCTACCTCAAAGCAATGGGACATCAGCCTTGATTTATCCATGTCAAATTCTCACCTGAAACACTGCAAGGGCTGCCAAACTGGTCTCCATGCTTTCACTCTTGCATCCATACAGTCCACTCTCTATACAGAAATTAGATGATTTTTGAACTACATAGCAAGTATTCCACCTTGTAATGTCTTTTAATGTCTTCTGATCTCTCAAAGAATACAGTCCAAACTCTTCATGTTGGTTCACACAAACCACACTTGACTCTGCCTCCTTCCATTCTTCTCCTTGCTCCATTCTTCTCCTGTGGTGTCCTCACAAAGACACCAATGTTAATTCAATGGCCTGCCTTCTCTACCTTTCATAAGCCAAACTTATGCCACCTTCAAGCCTTTAAACAAGCCTTTTGCCTGGAGGCTCACCCTCATGGTCTCACTGCTGTTCTTTCTTGTCATCCAGGTCCTTGCTCTACTGTCACCTTCTCAAATAGGTCTTTCCTCACCACTCTCTCTAGAGGTGCCGTCTAGTTACTCTGAATACCATCATATTTTAGTTATTTGCCCAACACTCATCATTTTTTGTTACTCATGTAGTTATTCACCATAGTTTGTTATCTGTCAGCAAGCACTTAACTGGAACTTATTGAAAGAAGGAACTGGGTCTCTTTTCACCACTGCATTTCCTACATGAAGCTCATTGCTGGGGTGTTGAAAGTACTTTCTAAGTCTGAAAGAATGAGAAAAAGAGAGAGAAAGAAAGGAGGAAGGGAGGGAGGGAAGACAGGCCAATGGCTTTTTCTTTTAGAAAAAAAGAGTGAGCCAATGTCTTTTCCTTTGGTAGCTACATTTCTTGAAGCAGTTATCTGCATGCTGTCTCTCTATTTCCCCCTCTCCATGCAGACTGCAACCCACTGCCAATGGACTTCTACTGATACAACTCTTGTAGGAATATTATTACCATGGTCAATGAAATTTCATGGCCAGTAAATGCAGAACACTTCCAAGGCTTTTTAAAAAATTCTTTCCAGGGTCTTTTTTTTTTTAACAGCTTTATTGAGATATAATTCACATAGCATACAATTTACCCATTGAAAGTGTATAATTCAATGTTTTTTAGTATATTCACAGAATTGTGCAATCATCACCACAATATTAGAACATTTTTATTACCCTACATGAAATCTTATATACATTGTCACTCTCCACTCTCACTCCCAATTTTATCATCATTCCCAGCCCTAGGCAAGCAATAATCTACTTTAAGCTTCTATAGATTTGTCTATTCTGGGCATTTCATGTAAATACAGTCATAGAATATGTGGTCTTTTGTGAGTGGCTTCTTTCACTTAGGATGTTTTCGAGGTTCATCCTATTATCATATCAGTACTTCATTCTTTTTATGCTCTAATAATATTTCATTGTATGGATATACCACATTTTGTTTATCTATTCATTAATTGATGGACATTTGGGATGTTTCTACTTTGGGGCTATTATGAGCCTCTGAAGATCTTTTGATAATTCTAGCCTCTTTTTGTGCTTTGAAATTGATTCTATACTGCCACATTCTTCCATTTATCCATGCTCATCTGACAGTTCACTTTCTGATTCTTTTGTAGGATCCTATTTCTCTCCCTTACAACATAATACAGATGTTTCTATAGGGTCTAAGGAATCATGTGTTAAGATATTTTGGAAAACTTACTGTGAAAGCGTATAGTGTGCAAAGAGCCATCTCCTTAGTTTACAATGTTTCCTGACTGAGATATTGTTCCCTGCTTCCCTCCAGGTGAGACCCTCTCAGATTCCACCGACCACAGGAAAGTTTCTCTCCATCTTGCTTCTCCTTGCCCCTTGGGAGAGTGTGGCAATGGCTAGTAATTGTTTCCGGTGTTGGAGACAACAGTCTTTCAGAGTTATTCTCAACTCCCCAAGCAGGCACTGTCATTGCTGTTTTGTTTATTTATGTGATGATCATTCAAGTGCAGCCACAAGAGGAAATATAAGAGAGGCCCAGGGAAAACAAAGTTTATTATACTCACAGTTCCTCGAGGGACAGTGTCACTGCATACCACAAAGGGCCACACGAGAAGAGTGCCTAGGAGGCAGGCTCTACCAAGCTGGTGGGGAGCTGGGAGAGAGCGAGGACGCACAGACTAGTGCCTTCACGGGGGTTCAGGGTGGAGTACGCAAGAAAAGATTCTAGGGAATTCCACTGGTGTGTTTGAATGTTACTAAATCATGGTTGGTGGGGCCACGCAGGGGAACTTGTGGCGGAGACCAGCTCTGTTTCAGGATAAGGAATAAGTTGTAATATCAGGAAAAGGTGCTCTGCTTGCTAGAGTTGAGACTGGTACACTGATAAAAGCTTCTAAACAAAAAGGAGGCAAAAACTAGACTTCTGAAGAGAACTTGCAGGTGAGACACTACATGCCCATTTCTGACTCCTCCTTTTTTTTTTTTTTAGATTTTATTTTTTTCCTTTTTCTCCCCAAAGCCCCCCGGTACATAGTTGTATATTCTTCGTTGTGGGTCCTTCTAGTTGTGGCATGTGGGACGCTGCCTCAGCGTGGTTTGATGAGCAGTGCCATGTCCGCGCCCAGGATTCGAACCAACGAAACACTGGGCCGCCTGCAGCGGAGCGCGCGAGCTTAACCACTCGACCACGGGGCCAGCCCCTCTGACTCCTCCTTTTTGATGGTGTGATCAATGGCGGTGATGATTGGAGTAGATCCCAGCAATGAGGAAATCTGATTTTTCAGTTATTTCAGATTATAGTTATGTAATTAGACTCTCAGGTCCTATTTGCAGCATCAGAAGGAGGCATACCGTTGTTATCACCATGCATGTGATGATGAATATAAAATTTGCTAAGTTCTCAGATCATGTATTTCGATGAAAATTGTTGGAATATGAACATTTATCACTTTAACTCTGAGACCCTCGTGTGATTAATGGAAACTAATTTTTTTCTCTATAGATGACACTTGTGTTTCTTAAAATGTTTCTCCATATTGGAGAAAAGGAAGCAGCCTTAAGGGGAAAGGTGATTTCAACAATGCAGATTTCAGAGAGCAGAAACATCCAGGCTCTTCAGCAGGTACAAGACTATAACAGTTCCTGTAAAGGGTTTCTCTGATTTTCATGAATATTTCTAAATCTCATTTTACAGTCTCGTTATTCATCTTCTCTTCCAGTTTCCTCACCTACAGCTTTTCCGTGGTTTACAATATGCCTTTACTGTTGAAGAGTTGAATTATTGTGTGTGAAAGATGAGAGGCATATGGCCTATGCATTTCAAAGTTAATGAAAAGATTGGGAGGAAATTTGAAGGCTAGGAAGCCCAAACCTGCTATTTTGCAAAAAGAAAAAAAAGTGGAAACAGACATAAGTTATGATTGCTCTGATATGTAGTGACAAATGGGACTCCATTCCACTACACTGAAATTATGACTACAAAATTCCATAGATATGTACGTACAGTTCATCAAATTGCCACATGCGTGGCTAATCGTAAACTCCTCTTTGGAATGAGTATGAGTTAACTGTGATGTGGAAGTATTGATGCTACTCCTCTGAATGATTTGTGAAGTTCCTGTCTTTTTTAACATTTCCATTGTCGTTAGTTTGGTCTAGAGCTCCACCCTCCCCCAAATCACGATTAAAGCCACCACCTGTCGTGACGCTTCTCATGGGGCCTTGCCCAGATCAGAACCTGCTCACATCACTCTCATTGGCTAAAATGGTCATCGTACTTCTTATTTCTTTACAGTCACGAGACAAACTCCCATTTGAGGACTCTCTATTCAGTTTCATCAGTATATGTGTTTTATTCTTACATAAACCCTAATTTTTAATATTTAAACTTTGTGGAATACTTTTGATAAATAGTAGGACAAAATTCCTCTTATTCACATTTATCTAATTATTGTTTATCCATTCTGACAGTCTCTGTCTTTTAATTGGTGTATTTAGACCATTCACATATAAAGTGATTACTGAAATAGTTGTATTAAATGTCTCTGCCTTTTAATTGGAGTATTTAGACCATTCACATATGGAGTTGATTATTGAAATAGTTGTTTTCTATTCATTGCTTTCGTTCTTTGTTTCTTTTTTGTCTTCCGTTCTTTTTTCTGCCTTCTCTGCTTTTAATTGAACACTTTATATAATTCCATTTTCTTTTCTCTTTTAACATGTCATACTTTAAAAATTTTTTTGATTGCTCTGGAGTTTGCAATACACATTCACAACTAATGCAAGTCAACTTTCAAAGAACACTACACTGCTTCATGAGTAGTGTGAGTACCTTCCAGCAGAGTATTACTAATTCCTCCCTCCCATCCCTTCTAACGTTGCTGTTGTTCATTACATTTATCTATAAGCTACATTCACCAAACACATTGCTACTGTTATTATTTTATCTGTTAGATCAATTAGGAAAATAGAGATTTTATTTTGTTCCCTCTCTAATGCTCTTTTTTCTTTATAAAGATCCTAGTTTCTGGGGCAGGCCCCATGGCCGAGTGTTTGGGTTCACGTGCTCCACCTGGGCACCGGGTTTTGCCGCTTCTGATCCTGGGCACTGACATGGCACCGCTCATCAGGCCATATTGAGGCGGCCTCCGCATAGCACAACCAGAAGGACCTACAAGTAAAATATACAGCTATATACTGGGGGGATTGCGGGAGAAAAAGTAGGGGAAAAAATCCTAGTTTCTAACCTATATCATTTTCCTTCTCTGAAGAACTTCTTTAATGTTTCTCGTATTGCACATCTACTGGAAATAAATTTCCTCAAGTTTTGTTTGTCTAAGAAAGTATTTCTCCTTCACTTTTGAAGGATAATGTTTTTGGATACAGAATTCTAAGTTGGTATTTTTTTCTTTCAATACTTTAGGTCCTCCTTCACCACCCTCTGGTGTGGCAGACCCAAGCAACACTCCTGCTGCCCACTCTGCGCTGTCCCCGAGGCCCTATGCCCCCTTGCCCGGGGAGCGCAGCAGGGACTGGGGGCCCTGGACCTGCGCACTGGCCCCACGCTGCCATTCTGCAAGTGCCTGTTCCAGGCACCCTACCTGGAGCCCACCCTGGCCCACTCAGCTCCTGCTGTGGGCCAGTTGTCCCCCCGGATCCCCTGCGCTGCAGCTCGGACACACCGGCTGTCCCCACAGCTCACCACGGCCTGGCTCTGCTTTACTGCCAGGGACCTTTACTGCCCCTGTACCCCACCCCGGCCACAGGCTCCTCTTCTCCTCTGCTGAACCTGCATATGGCCCCTGTACCCCATGGTGTGCCCCATGGAACATCCCCTTTCAGCTGACATCGCCATGGCAACCCCTACAGATGAGGACAGAGACAGGCCACTCCACATCCCAGTGGTGCAGGCCAATCTGCCAGCTGTGCATCCGCTAGTCAACCTCTTCCAGCATGGGGACTGGGAACTGAATACCTCAACCTACGGCAGAGACCACTCCATCTAGCTGTGATCACCACATTGCCATCTGTGGTCCGGCTCCTGGTAATGCCTGGTGCCAGCCTCATGACACTGGACGGCCATGGCCAGATGGCAGCCCACCTGGTGCGTGAGCACCACAGCCTGACCTGCCTGTGGGCCCTGCTGGACAGTGTGGCCAGGCCTGGTGGACCTGGAGGCCCACAATCACAACGGGCTCACTGCCCTGCACATGGCCATGAACATGTAGTGCCGCGAAGCCATGCTGTTTTGGCTGGAGTACCACACAGACATCATGCAGTGGACTTTAAGAGCGACCACTTGCCATTCATCCACGCAGTGGAAAACAACAGCCTTAGCATGGTGCAGCTGCTGCAGCATGGCGCCAACGAGAATGCCTAGAAGTACTCAGTTGAGCAGCGGGCTCCTCCCCCTGGTGCACACACTGGTCCACAGCAGCCTCAAGAACTGTCACAACCGCTGCTCATGGTAGCGCGCAGTCGCGGGATCATTGACATCCTGAAGGGGAAGGCTACGTGGCCTGCTCAGGCATCACAGCCACAGCCCTCCCCCAATCAGAGTGCCACCACCTCCTCGGAAAGCAGTGGCCGCCTCAGCTCCAATGATCTTCTTTCTGCATCACCATCCTCCTCACCCTCCCAGTCTCCTGGCAAGAACCCCCAAGATTCCCCATGGCTTGCCCCGTTTCTTCCTTCCTCCCTCATCTCCACCTGCCTTTCTGCCCTTTGCTGGGGTCCTCCGAGCCCCTGGCCCGCTGGTGCCTCCCTCCCCATCCAGGAGGCAGCTGAGAGGGATGGTGGGGAGCAGATCTCCAATTCTTGACGAGGGAGCTCCCAGCCCTGTGTGGTCAACCCTCCTGGAAACTGTGAAGACCTCACTCCACGCCCCCCACCACAAGCCACCAATCTTCAGGATGAGGATTTGCACAGAGGCACAGGCATCCCCCCCATAATCCCCGTCTTCTGAACAGATAGCCCCCTCTCAGCCCCACCCAGACTCGTACTCCTCTTGTTCTCAGGCATGAGTCCCCTGTCTGGAGTTCTATCCCAACATCCGTTTCCTGCTCCTCTCCCAGAGCTGGTGGAACCAGGGAAGAGCTGCTCCCTCTGCCCTCTGCCCCAGTCAATGAGTAGAGAGAGACAGGCTGTAGCTGGGCAGTGATTACAATGTAAATTATTAGGCATTTTGGTTGGATTTCTTTTGTAATAAACTATTTTTGTACCATAAATAAACCACTTTAAATATTTTACTCCATTCTGTTCTTGCTTGCACAGTTTCTGATGAGAAGTCTTGTGTTATACTTATCCTTGTTCCTCTAGAGGTAAGGTTTCCTCTGGTTTCTTTCAAGATTTTCTTTGTCTTTGATTTTCTGAAGTTTGACTATACTATAACTAGGTATATGTTTTTTGGAATTTATCCTCCTTGGTATCCTCTGAGCTTCCTGGATCTATGAGTTGGTGTCTGTCATTAATTTTGGAAAATTTTCGGTCATTATTACTTTAAATATTTCTTCTGCTTCCTTCTCTTTCTTCCCCTGCTAGTATCCCTATTATGCATATGTTACACCTTTTGTAATTGTCCCACAGTTCATAGATATTGTTACTTTTTTTATTCTTTTTTCTCTCTGCTTTTCAATTTGTGAAGTTTCTATTGACAAATCTTTAAAACCCCTGGTTCCTTCCTTGGGTTTGTCCAGTCTACCGATGAGGCCTCCAAAGGCAGTCTTCATTTTTGTCACAGTGATTTTGATTTCTAACATATCCTTTTGATTCTTTCTTAGGGTTTCCATCTCTCTGCTTTTACCACTCATCTCTTCTGGCATGTTGTCCACTTTTCCCATTAGAACCTTTAGCATATTAATCATAGTTATTTTAAATTTCTAGCCTGATAATTCCAAAATTTCTGCAATATCCAAGTCTGGCTCTGATGCTTGCTTTGTATTTTCAGATTGTATTTTTGCCTTTTAACATGTTTTGTAATTTTTTGCCGATGGCTAGATATGATGTATTAGGTAAAAGGAACTGAGGTAAATGGGTCCATAATGTAAGGTTTTATGTTTATCTGGGCTAGGAATTAGGCTTTGTTACTGTTTGCTGTAGCTGTAGATGTCAAAGGCTAAAATTTCTTCTAGCTCCTTGTTTTCATCTCCCCTGGTGCTTAGGGGTTCTCTAGAGACTCTTTTTTAAATAAAGTCTGAGACTTTCAGTTCTATCAGCTGTAATTCCCTATTAACTACAGGAGCCCAACTGACGTGGTGGTGAGGTATGGGGGAAGGTAGCATTCTATAGTCCTATGATTAGGTCTCAGTCTTTTGGTGAGCCAGCACTCCTGGGCTACTTGTGACCTTCACAATGACTCAGCTTTTCTCCCCCTTAGGTGAGACAGGAAGGCTAGAAGGGGCTGATGTTGGGCATTTCCCTCCCCTCAGGTCGTTAGGCTGTGGTAGAATAGTTCCCCTTGAGGGCAGGCTTCTGTTAGGGAGAACAGAATGCTCTGGGAGTATTTCAAAATGGTTAATTTTCCCCTCTCCCTGCCAGAGGCATGAGGAGATTTTTCTCTGATCTTCACTCTGAGAACCTCGTGGGGTTCCTGGGGGTAAAACTCACGAAATTGTGGGGCTTTCCTAATACTGGGCCACCTGTAGCTTTTAGGTCTCAAGCTCGTCCACACTGAGCCTTCAGGAATTTGTCAATTAGTTTCAGTGTTCCTACCAGTGCCAGCTCCAGCGGCAGCTTCTGATCCTGGGTTTCTACCCCAGTAGTCTGGGATTCTTTGTATTTGCCTCTTTCAAATTTTCAGGGTGGTGGTGTGCCCTGTGCCCTCAACTCTCTGAAGGAACTGAGAAGAATTGTTGATATTCAGTTTGTTCAGCTTTTTTCTTGTAAGGGTAGGAGTGACATCTTCCAAGTTCTTTATCTGTCAGACCAGAAGTAGGAAACCCTAATTATTCTTTAAATAATCTTTATTGTTGCCAATTCACATTTATTAGTCTATTTTATAAATAATTTAAAATATAATAATTTAGAAATATTCTGACAGCTGATTAGAATTGCAGTGATGTTATACAATTCTTGTGTAACACTGGAGCTCCTAACAATGGTCAGATCCAGGGACACAGTGTGTCTGTGTTTATTTACAGATACCATTAGTGCCTTTAGAATTTTGTTTTTATTATTTATACAATGCACGTTTCTTGTCATTGTAATTCAAGGTTTCAATAAAAATGTTAAAATGTTGTGAAATAAATATTTTAAATATATTTTCATATTGTTTGATGCTGAGATATATGAAAACCATTGATTTTTTGTATATATTTTCTTATATTTGGGCATGATATGTTAATTCTACTAAATTTTGATTTAACCCTCTTTGCTTAAAAAGCAGATGGGTACATTATCTAAAATTAAAATTGAGTAATGGTTTGCTTTACAACCTTTTATATTTTCATTTTCACGCCCTATTTTGGGGGATAGGCTTCATGTTTTTGAACATTTGCTGTGATAGTGGTCATTATACTCTTGTTCCTTGCTGAAATGCAACTGAATCTTCCACTTCACTGTCCTAATATTGAATGGCTCTTGCACTCAATAATCAAGTTTGGTTATGGTAGATTTTTCTGTTAGTATTATACGCTGAAATAGGTCATCCATATTATATCTTGAACACCAGCATTTTCTTTCAAATAGGAGACTGTGCCTATAAAACAATTATTTAGTCATTAACGGGACATTTGACCAAAGAAGAGTGCCCAAGGACATTATAACACAGATAGAACAGAAATGGCATAAGGACAAGGTATATATGGATGTGTACTATTTGAAGAACTGAAACAACATATTTTTTAAGTATACATTTTGAACTTAACTGACATTCATGTTCAATCTTTTAAGAAGCCCTTAATGTAAAGGATCTATTTTGTAGCAGGTACTTCTGAGTGGTGAAGAATGGCTAGCTGTATCCAATGGGCTTCAATTGCCTTGATAAAGTATACCATTTATGTTTTTTCTAGGATTTACTGGTCCTGAATAAACCTGTTGTCCTTGTGATTGACTGTTATCAGTGCTCTGGTCATGGGAATTACATTTGTCTCTCAGTTGGGAGGTAGAACACTAGGGAATATCTTACTTCTTTGTTACTACAACTTTATTTACTGTATTGGATGGAGATTAAGGCACGCAAATTTGATTTTCAAGAACCTAATATTTGCCAACTGTTTGGTTCTTCTCTCTAGGGGAGTTTTCCAGACAATAGCAATTTTTGGAATAAAACGTTTCCTGAATATGTATGCATACTCATTTTTTATCTTCATAGAGTAGCCAGAGGGATGTCACTTGGCACCACCTCTATCTTGAATGGCTTCCAGGCCATCACGATCAGCCCCAGCAGCTCTCAGTGGAAGGAGCTCAAGGTCAAAGCCCCCAAGTACATTGGCTTTTCCATTATCCTCTGCTGGAACCTTCACATGCTGGTAAATTTTATTGTTTCTGTGTATTCGAGGCATGAGGGAAAGCAAAATTCTCGCAGAGGAAAAGAATTTGGGATACTGTTCTGGCACAATTGTTGATAGAACTATATACTGATTGCATTTATTGATATTTTCCTCCAATGATGCGTTGTTTTGACTCTGTGATTTAGGCCTATGGTCCACAGTGTTCATCTCATAGGGACATAAAGCAGAATGTCCCACACATTCACAGCAGAAACCTCTTACCAAGAAAATGCTCCACTGAGAGCAGAGCCACTCAGAGCATCCTCATCTTTGTGAGCATATTCGTCTCTTTTTACTCACTGCTTTCATTCTTTACCTTTTATATGTCTTATTTTGATTATCCCAGTTGGTGGTGGGTGAACACCATCCACTTACTGCTGCAGGTTTCCCCACTCTCAGCCCTTCTGTGCTCATCAACAGAGACCCCTGTGTCTCTAGACTCTACTTTACTTGCTGCACAAGGATAAAACATTTCCCTAAACTAGTCGGAGCACTATAAAAGTTAGAGCTTATGCCTCTAAATATTGTTCATTTTAAAATTCATTCTTTTTTTCCATCTATTTAAACACTTATTATGACCAGGTCAGATTGTGGACAGAATTAAGAACAAAAATAATTTATAACTCAGCAAAAATCTAGGCACAAAACAAAGTTTTGAATTCTCATTCAAATTCCTTTTACATATGAGGTTTCAAATTCAGAAATCCTAGTGCTCACAACCGGAGCTGAGCAGAACTTGGTGCTTTCCTCTCAATCTTTTTATTCATGTATCCTCTCATTGTTATGAGCCCTGCTAAATTTCTCTCTGCTACTATCTGTCCCTACCTCCTTGAAGATTAGGGGGGAAAAGCCTTCTATTGTCCAGGGCAATTTAACTCTTTTCCTACTTATGTACTCCAACTCCTACACTCAAGATGCTATTCTAAATGAACACACTGTTATTACAACTGATCGGTGCATAGTTAAGAGTAGCTTGACCAGCCTTATCATAGGCAGGTGCTCAAACAATGTATTTAGCACAACTAGGTTTCATCCTAAAATTAGATTCTGCTTCTAAAAATAAGAGTTTTTAAGCTCTTATTACACAAATTGGGGAACTTAAATTTTCAGACTGCAGGCAAGTGGGACAGGATGTTACTTACATCCACGGAATGCTACCTTCCATTCCCTCCGCAGGGGCGTAGGAGCATTCATTCCAAAGAGAATTAACAAAGCTTCCTGTCCTCTAGCAGGAAATATAACATAACCCCTTAGATGAAGGATCAAAATGTGTCATAAAGTAAAATGACTCAAGAACAGCTATTACAGGAACTTACATTGCTGATGGAGCTGCCAGTCCTCAAAGACATTTTGAATAGTAACCAATATATTTTAAAGTTTACAGTACATATACCCTTTGACCCAGCAACATATTGCTGGGAATCAATTAACAGAAATAAAAGATCCATTACATAAGAACTTAT